AAACTTTGACATGCAATCATAATTATCGTAACCTGAAACATCAAGATCCAAAAGATAACTATTAGAAAAAGGTTGTATTTATAATATTTAGATGTTATAAATCAACATTTAAAGAATCAACTAATACTTAGTTGAAATGAAGATTTTCTATGCGAACAAACCATAGCGAGGTAATCTAATTTATTAATTATTTAAATTAAACATTGATATAATCATTTTGTACCAAAACCTGACCCCTAAAATTAACGCAAAGCCCCAGACGAATTGTAAATGAATCGTTGTTACCGCCACGGCATTTTGACGACGTAATTTGTTCCTACTTAATAATAATTTCGTTCCGGACTAGAACGATTAAGCACAACAGCGTTACCTGCATTGTCAGACTCTCGTTAATTAAATTCTGCGTCAGAAATGGAATTAAATTTATTAGGAAAAAAGTAGCGGGAACTGTGAGCGGGAAATTCCCTGTGTTATATTAGAATTACTCGGGATTATACGAGATTTCACTTAATTACGGAGTTCGCTCAAATTACGGCCCGCTTTATTTTTGAGGGGGTCGGGTGTTGCGGAATGAGCCTTCTACGCTGTTACGAGGTACCAGAACGATTGGGCACATGATAACTATCTCGTGGTGGACATACCTTTACAGAGGTAATAAACGTGAGGGATATTTTGCGGATACTTTTTACTCGATTTTTGTAATAACATTAAGGGATTGTAGAGAGACTATTTACGTTAACTTACTTGTACGTTTAACGCATTAAAATCATTCAAAATAAGTAATTCTCTATTTATTTATTTTCAACGTAACGTAACAGTAATATATAATGGGGCAGGTTACAGCTGCAGCTGATTATGAGGTTTTCATTAGATGTGTAATAAAAATAAAAATGTTTTGATTAATAGATTTTTCTAGGAAAAATTAATCAACTATGGTCTAGGTTGAAAAAGAAACCAGTGGCGTTACAGTTTTAGAGACGGGCTGATTTCTGTATCTGTTTCGTTACCATTTGTTTTTCTTTAATAGGCAAGTAGGTAGGTAGCTTTCTGTGCCAGACATATGCCGTCATGTTTTGGGTTTAAAGCGTGCCGGTTTCCTCACCATGTTTTTTTTCACTGTACGAGCGAGTGTTTAATGTGCACATAGACAGAAGGTCCATTTGTGCATAGCCGGGGATCGAACCTACGATCTTAGGGATGAGACTCGCACTGACTCTGATGAGACTCTCGTTGTAGTAACCTCTAATATATATATAAGATGTTGGTCTGATTTCTTTTTTAGTTCTCTGTCAAATATTATACGTAACAAAACAACAAAATCTACAGATTTCTGTCAATCAATAATAACACTTTAATGGGCCTTGGCCCACAGATTGCACTTGTTTTTTATTTTTCTGCTAGTTAATGATCAGCCTTCAGTTCACACAACGCGTAAATCGTAATGTTTAGGTTAATTATAATTGCGCATAAAAAGAAACATTCATGTGTAAACAGTTTAAGGTTCTTTAAGTTCAACACTTTATTTAATAGTAGTTAGTAGTTTAGTAAAAAGAGGGGCGGAGAGTTTATTGCCAGTTCTTCTATTCCGTTCTACGCCTATGATTTAAGAACTGGCAGTAAATGTTAAATTAGAAGCATTTAATGTATATTTCTTTTTTTGACGTTCATAAGTGTACATTGTGTTGCCTATATGAATAAATGATTTTTGACTTTGACTTGACTTGACTAATCGCCTCTAATTCTGCCAAATAGTTCAACACAATAGGCAAAAATAACCTCAAAATCAATTATAAAAACAAGTCAATTGAAGAAGTTGTTTCAACCAAGTTTCTAGGCATAACACTAGACCAAAATCTTAACTGGAAACAACATATTTTAACGATATGCACGCACCTTAATAAATTTGTCTTTGCTTTGAGTCGAACTCGCAAAGTAGCTTCAAAACACGCAGCAATTATTGCTTACCACGGCTATGTTGCCTCAGTTTTGCGCTATGGTATCCTTTTATGGGGAAATTCGGTAGATGTGAGTAAAGTTTTTATTACTCAGAAAAAATGTATTAGGGCTATCATGGGCGTTGGACCTCTTATGAGCTGTAGGCCAATTTTCCACGAACTCGGTATTCTGACAGTACCAAGTTTGTGTATCTTGGAAGCAGTTATGACTGTCAAGAAGTATCCAAAACTATTTAATACATACAAAGAAACGTGCTTATATATACCGAGGGATCCAACACGGCTGCGGGTGCCTGCATGTTGCACCGCGCTATATTCTAAAAATTGTAACGCCATGGCTATAAGAATATTTAATCACCTTCCCAGAAGTTATAGATCGCTGTCATGTAATGTCTTCAAAGGAAGGTGATTGGGTTTCTAAAGTAAGGTGCTTTTATAGTAGGAATATTTGGCCTATTTGAACAATTGATTATAAATAGCTTGGTATTATTGTGTTATGTTTTTATTATATGACAAAGCAAAAATTTATGACATTTGCATGCCTATTTATATATGGCTGATTGTCCGGATATAAAAAATAAATAATGTGATTATAAAATCACATAAGGTTTGATTGTAATATAGTAAAATTCTAATTGTTAATTATGTAAGATAAATTTGCACGCTATTATATGTGGCAGAATATGCGGAGTTAAGATTGTACAACCATAAGATTTTTATACCATATTCTTGCAAATAAATGATTATTATTATTATTATTATTATTAATTCTAAATATTCATCCATCAATTCTGCAAACATATTTTGCTAATAGAGTCAAGCTAACAAGTCATTATTATACTAATCGGCCGTATGTAATTGGCATTCCCAAAAATCACCAATTCAATAGGTAGTTTGTAACCAAAATTCATTCATGCATTATCCGCGTGCGAGGGAATGTCGCTTATATTCCGTACAGCTTTGTGCTATATTTCTCTAGCAGGAAAAGCGTTTAGCGGCATTCAGGGAACTCAATTGGCGGTAATGCAAACCATCGCCGCGCGCGCCTCTACGACTGTAATTATCGTCTAAACTCTGAAGCGATCCAATTGCTTAATTCACGTGAATATGCTATGCTTTTAGCCTAAATCTCTAAACGTTACTCGAGCTAAGTTAAGCTCCTATTAAGCCGAGGTGAGAATATCGCAGACGTCTTAATTTGGTTCGTTGAATTAATTTCGTTGAGTGCAGTACCGACCTAGCAGGCTGCACAGTGCACGGGTTATTGGAGCTCATAAGTATGAAAAGTCGGGCATTGACGGCTTTATTTTGAAACTTTGCTAAATATTTCGTTGGTGATTAATAAAAATGAATATCAAATGTATGTATAAGTGAAATAATTTTAAGAATTAAATGTGAGGCTTTGATACATTATGTTTAATAATGTTAGGTTACACGCTGATTTTCGGCAGTAAGAGCGTAGTTGGTCTATGTTGATTAATTATACAAAACATAATAACATATTATGCTTAAGATTAAAGTTAAACATTGTAGGTCAACGTTTTCATGTTTATCAACATAAAAATATGTTGATACAGTTTATTAATAAAGAGGTTGTTGGCGACTCTATAAATATAAATTAAATATGGAGTAGAGACTCTTGGGCCGTGGGGTTCAAGTGCACAGGCGCTTGTTAAAGATTTCAGTTGGCGCCCAGTAGATAGTACCGGTGACCCCAGACCTGGCACTTTCCTGGCTCAACGAATAAGTATCGCAATACAGCGAGGAAATGCTGCCAGCGTTAAAGGTACACTGCCACAGGGACGAAACTTTTTACATTTGTTTTGATTTTGATTTTAATTATTTTTAATTATTTCTGTTATTACTTTGTAGGTTAAGAAAATTGTAAATACTGTATACTTGATTATAAATAAACAATTTTAACACTAATTAGATATGAGTCATAAGTGAGATAAAAATATGTACATAATTAAAGTGAGAGATATTGTATTTTTTTGGAATGGAATCTCGCTGTTGGCCTTAAGGGCCTTTATAGCTCAGCTCGGGCTGTTTTGGCAAGCGTAGGTCGGCCTGAATGGGCGTTTTTTCCACGACTAGCGCAAGGGTGTCTCGTGTGAGACTCGAATCTAGGCTTGGGCCGTCACGCGGTGGTCAATCGCCTGAAGGGCAGGACGGAATCTCACTGGAGTGAGCGAAGTACGAAGTAAAGGTCCTCGCCTTCCCCGGTAAAGGCGGGTTTTTTACCCTAATCTGATTTTGGCTATTATTATTATTGGCCGCGCGGGCGGCTTTTAATTTGTTGTTTGCTACGGTGATTGGATCATCCGGGTCCATTAGTATGTGTCGGGGCCTCCTTCGAGCCTTTTTTGTCGGGAAGAGGTAGTAATTGATGCTTTTACACCAACGGGTTGGGATGGTGTTTAGCCTTGTCGAAGTGGCATATGGTGGCCAACTTCATCCATTGGGCTATGGTAGGGAGTTCCAGGTCGTGCTGGAGATCGACGTTTCTCAGGGCGCACCGGTCGCGATTCTGAAGCACCTGTAGCCGGTGGATCTGGGCGGGGGCATAATGCGCAGACTACGCTAGCGTATATCATGCACGGTCGGATGCAGACCTTTTACAATGTCACCTTGTGTGTAAGGGGCATGTGACTTCTTTTATTTAGGAGAAAATAGAAGTGAGAGAGGACAGAAGACACCTTCTTGCGAACCCCTGTAGCCAGGGCCCTGGAGAGAAGTACCTCACCGCGGTAGAAATTAGCAGGGTAGTGGACAAAGCAGTAAAACAACTGCTCGCCACCAAAAACGTTGACCACCCCCCGCCATCCGGGGGACGTAGGTCGCGCAGCCAAGGTGTAAGGTTTACACAATGACCTACATAACTACGCCTTCTACATTGGAACGCCGACGGCCTAAAACGAAAAGTCATCCTACGTGAACACAACATAGACGTGGCACTCATCAGCGAGCATAAGCTACGCGCCGCAGACCGTCTGAGCCCACCGGGGTATATAGTGTATAGGGACAATAACGTGTGCCCCACAGATGGAAAGCCCTACCGCGGCCTGGCTGTATCATATATGGCTACTCATCCGGCGCTCAATTAGGCACCGCACCATACCAGCCTGCAATCACCAGCAATTCTACACGTTGGGCGTGGAATTGGCTATCGCCGGAAATCCCACCCACATAATAGCCCTCTACTGCCCGCCAGGGGGCGAAATTTACACCGGAGACGCTGCGCACGCTCTTCAACCACGACCAGCCGGCGATCATCGCGGGCGATTGGAACACAAAACAAACCGATTGGCACGCTAACATTACCAATACCCGCGGAAACCGGCTAGCGCACTACGCGCAGATACAAGGTTTTTCCATAGAGGGGCTGGACTCACCGACGCACTACCCCTATTTAACCGCGTCAAGGCGGAGCTGGCCAAACATGAGAGGCCCAGTTTCATTTAAAGACAACATCTATAATTACCCACTAGCAGGGGTCGTGGGTTCAGGCGGTGCCAGCACTACGTCGAACCGTCTTAACAAAACGTACGAAGTCAATCCCCACCGGTTTACAAAGCCGCACCCGTGCAAAACTTTGGTTACTGCACGGGTGTTTTCAAACGAACATATTATAAACGTAATATCCTGTGCAGGCCTGCGTCTCTGAGGTGTCGTGGGGTTTGGCACCAATAGAGGTTGAATATATACGACTTAGTACCGACCCAATTCAAATTCAAAAATGTATCAAAATCATTAAATTAAATTACAAATAGTCGTAGTAATTTCTAAGTTTGGTTTTAATTTGTAAACAATAATTTATTTTACTACAAAAATATAATGCTACATTTGTGAGTTGCTTAAAAATAATTTGTTGTAATAGAATAAATATCTCTCGTGTTCATCCGTAGGCAGGTAAACCCGTTTAAAGCTATTTTCTATGAAATAATCTCGCTCTAACGCGTCTCAAAGAAACCTATCGCCTGTAAACAAATAAATACCATCTCCCCAACCTTTTCAGATTAAGTCCAATTTTTTCCCAAACTAAATAGCGTACCTTTTCTATGAAAGATGTAGAATTCACGCTCGGCTTATATGAGATTTCTTTACGCTTTCAAAAACTCGTATTTATCTGTAAAAGCTAATATGATTAAGCCTATAATTTTGTATAACGCAACAGGTTTCAGAGGCTCCTATATTGATTGGTTCAAAGTCATAGTGTATGATAGACATTCATCGTCATTTTCTGATTTGGTATCAATGCTTTGAACATTTAGAGTAATTAAATAAAAATCTTAATATATATAAATTACGTGTCACGTTGTTTGTCCGCTATGGACTCATAAACTACCGAACCGATATCAATCAATTTTGCACACCGTGTGTAGTTTGATCCAACTTAAAAGATAGGATAGCTTACATCTCAATATTATTGTATTGCAAAATATTTGTTTAATATTTGATAGTCACAATTCTAACAGATGGCGCTGTGTTGAAAGTACCAACGTTTCACATAAGCTACAACTTAATGGCATAACCACCAAAAAAGCATAGTGGTCCCCATGACTGGTGTTCTTCTACCGTTTCCCTTGAATAGTTTGCTACTATGTAATATTACAAAAACCTTAGCCACAGCAACGCTTGGCCGGTCAGCTAGTATTATATATAAATATAAAATATTATCTAATTATTTTTAAATATTATAAAATTATTATCTAGCTCATTTACATAGTAATAATAATAATTAAAAATGGATAAATAGAATATAAATCTAAAAAGTTTGGTCCGTGTAGTAGTGTACCTGTTATTAAATATTAATATTGCGATGTCAAAGTTTAAACAAAATTTTTATAAAATAAATGAGGAAATAATTTAATTGCACGTGAACCTTCGATACGTTATATAGGTTATTGTTAGGCTGTAACACGCTGATTTTCGATAGGATAGGCGCGTTTTCGTTATTCTAAATTTAATGAAGGCATTTGAGCTGCCAAAAATCACATCGTATCGTACCGTAGAGTAGAAATCTACTGGCGTTACCCTTGGCTTTCGATTTCTGCATCAGTTTCATGATATTTTTCTCTGAATTCTTCATTAGACAGGGTGAAAGATTCCTCACAATGTTTTTTATATGCCGTACCAGCAAGAGTTAAATGCTTTGAAAAATGAATAATATAAGAATAGTGCAATCGTTATTCGATCGCAAAACTCTGAGGGTTGAGTCGCACATATACGATTATTTATCAAATATTCGTGCTAATGATAATCTAATTAAATTCAACCTTTATATAAAGTTACGTAATATAATAGAAAATAAATCTAAAAAGTTTGGTTCCTGTGGCCCTGCAGCCATAAAGTTAAAGTTAACCTAATGAACTGATGCTTCGTTGCTATCTTCATTAGAATAAGATATATACAGGTCTATAAGTAAGTCTTCGACAACCACTCAAAGGTAATCAAGTAATTATATACTTTGTAGGCACAAAATATATCTGCAGTGGCGTAAAAGGCCATAGACGTAGGGCGGGTTATCTCCGACGTAATAGCGGGATCCACTCTCGCTGAAATACTGGTTTATGTGCCAATTCCTCGCCTTCCCACACTAGCCTACTTTCGGGAAAGGGGTTAATGTTGCCCGAGATGTATTCAAACATGTCTTAATCGGCTCTGTTTAACCTTACCCTTTTGTACTTTAGTGCTGTTTCTTCAAGTATCTCGTAAATTCTCTCGCATTTCTTGTTCACACTAAAATTGCAAAGAGAAATAATGAGTTGTTTTTTGTGAGCTTAAGTGGTGTAATATCTTGTATACTTGCATGGCGCAAAGACTTTTTAAGCAATGTCATTTGATATATATACTTACTCGTCAAGTTTATAATTCTTACTTATTATTAATCGGAATGAAAATTCGAGTCGAAGTTTCTGTAATAGAAAAGCAGGAGTATAATTTGAAATATTTTTTACATCTTTCGAAAGCTATTTTTTATCCTGCATTTCGTTATTCAGCTTTAAACTATACTTTTCCAGCAACGGTAATGTTTTGTTTACCGGGGGGCACGTAGGTTCGACTCCGGCTGTGCACCAATAGATTTTATATATGTGCGCATTAAATACTCGCTCCTACGGTAAAGGAAATCATCTCGAGGAAACCTGCACACCGTAAACCCAATAAGTTTACGGCGTGTGTCAGGCTGATCACCTACTTGCCTATTCAAAATGAAAAATAATACGAAACAGACACAGAAATCAGCCCCTGAAAGGTCCACTGTTTTTTTGTTTAAGGGGCTGAAATCCTCAGCAATAATCACCACCTTATTTAGGCTTGTAATATTAACAATAAGGGAAAACATCGCGCGAAAACCATTTTCTCAAAGACCGAAGAATGTGTCAGGCTTTTGTGCCTTTTTATTAGTATATTTTATACTATAATATATTATTTTACTGATTACTGACTTAAATCTTTAACTCTTGGGTAAAAAATTTATAAAATAAATCATGTTAGAGCAAAGGATGACGCGATGTCTTTACATGCTTTGTAAAAACATTTATATAAAGTCGATTCAAATTCAATCAGATTTCTTTGACTTTTAGAAGATCTAGTTCCATTTGCTTTTTTTCCCTCGTGAGGTTATGAAAGGTTTAACACTGTTCAAGTGGTTGGCGTCCTCTTAGTTCTATTCAGTTTTGCAGAATATAGAGCTTGATTTAAAAGGAGCATCACCAATTATAATGTGTTCAAGCAGTCTACTATCTTTACGACAAAAGTACCGCTTGCAAATAACGTGGTAATTTTAATAATTTCGGAATGTTTTGAAATATAACTGACATTCCAAATGTTTTAAAATTTGTATTATATAACTAGTACTTATTATATTTGTTTTATGTAAAATTACCAAGTTTTCAAACACCACACGAATAATGTTAAATAATTTACTAGAAATGAAATCAACTTATCAGATAATGACTTTGCTTTTAAGACAATTAAACCTATGTTATATAGGTATATGACCATAACTAAGCGTTATTGTTTCGTTGTAAAAATTACTAAACTGTGTTCGTTTCGCGAGCTGTTACTTTTAGATGCAATAAAGCAAACATTCTTCGAACAGTCGAAGTGCGTAGCAATTGAAAGATAGAACTCGCGAGCTTTCTGACATTGTGACCATTTCTTTTATAAGGTAGTGTGGCAAACGAGCCTACGTGACAGCCATAAAAAGCAGTCAACGCCCATGGACATCCATTTTAGTGGGTGCGTGCCTTGAAGGCTGGATTAAGCGCTCTTTATAAATACAGTGTAAAATCTTTATTACCTCATTCGTTAAAACGAAAAACTCTCTATAACGTTAAATTAAATCACATTTGTTTGTTTTAATACAAAACGCATGCATTAATTCATTCTTTATAACGCAATAACCCCTCTCTCAACAACATACTTAAGTGTAATTGTTTTTATAATCAGCTTACAAAACTAACCTTTTGAGGTGCCGAAATTTCTAAGAAAGACACCTGAGGCATAAACAGCCGTCTCGCCTTTGTTATTGTTATTTTGTATTTATTAACACGTGTGCCATTATTCTTAGATTACATTGCCTGTTGGAAATTTCGGTCTCAGTTATTAAACGCACCATCGTCACCTATCGTGTATTATCAGTCGTGAGCAAACTTTGAAACTGTCAAGATGGCCAGTAAAAGAAAAGCGTTATGTATTATATGTGTTTAGACTAATTTACCTATTGATAGTAATAAAATTAGAAATTATTGTAATTTGTTAAATTTAGTTTATTTTTTCTCTGCCATCCCTATAACGAAAACTCTCTATAACGAAAAAAAATGCTCGGTCGCTTGAAATTCGTTATAAAGACTTTACACTGTAATTGGAAGTCAAATCTTCCACGGAAGACTGCTCCACCGAAAGCCATTCCACAGTTCCTTAGTTTGCAACAGAAAATACGCGGCGGTATCACTAAACATCAGGTAAGCCTCCTTCAGTTGCCCCAGTTATAAAAAAAGTACGATTAGCCGCCTTCTCCGGTAAAACATCAATCACGATAGGCGTGAAGGGACAAACATGAACTAGATGAATTGACTCGTTTTACGGAACAAATTCCGCTCCATATAATGGAATGTTGCATTATTCAGGATCGTCACAGTTTCAGATTCATCGAGATTCGGATCTTTGGAAAAGGTTGCTTATCCTCGAGACTCAGTTGGCGGCGCGCGTCGGGACAACTATAAGCCTTTGAGCCGTTAGCGGACTACTTTTGGAGTAACACATTGTTATAAAAGTTGGCTATTGTATTAATGTATCCGATTTCGTTGTTT